AAAACATAGAACCTGTCAAAATCCCATCTCTTTAGAGAATATATGATTTTTTTCCTAGCCACCTAGTTCATTCTGAGAAACAAAGCAAAAATGAACTCACTGAAATAGTTGAGTTTTTTTTTTAGGTCAGACACTTTATATTCTAATGCTATAGCTTTCAGAATTATTGAGGAGGCCAAGTATTTCTTTTCACCTGGAATTTGGTCACATTTGTAGTCAAACAGGGAATGTGAAATCCATTCTGAAGCTTGTTGCTCTTTCAGGTGTTTGTTCACAGGGAAATGCAGACTCCTTAGATCCAAAATGCTAGCAGCAAAAAAGGAAGTGGTACGCTATGTAAATGTTAGTTATTTTAGCCCGTGTACACAGTTAGAGCTAGAGATTTTTTCACAGTGTCTAGGTAAATCACCAGGACACTGGCTTTTTATATCTGAGGTAGGATCTTTTGGTGTGAGAAGAAAAACATTGCTTTAGACTGCGCCATGTTTAAAAAGAGGAACCTTTTCTACAAAAGGCAGGTTACTAAAGCTGCCATTTACTCTGATACTTCAGATATTAGTTTGGACATCTACGTGCTTTTTGCTGTATGCTTTTCCACTTAGCTAATGATTGTGTACTTTGGCATCTAGTCAGTGAGGTCGCTTTCACTAACCCAAGGTGACTTCTAGAGGCATGAACTCAAAGTATGAAGCTTTAAAAATATAACTGACTTCCAAACAAGGCCAAAATTGAAAAAAAATATTTGGAAAGTATGTCTGATATAATGAAAAGCATCCTCAAAGTCATTTTTGTATCATGCATACAAGGAGACACCTTACTGAAACCACTGCTTTCTTCTAGTGGGGTCAGTGCTAAGCTGTATAAATGATGGACTATGATATTTTGCCGTTTAAAAGTATATTTCTTTCCTTTTCCACATACTTTTTTAACTATTGCCTTTTATCATTTGATACTCTAGCTTCAGTGTTAGGATCATTGGCGCAACCTTCTGGCAAGCTGCTTTTCTCCATACTCTCCCTATTTCTAATATTATCTTTTGCAGGTGGTATTTTTGAATCATAATACTTACCAGCTGCTGTCACCCTCTTGGTACACATGCTCGTGATCTCAGGCCCAAATTTCTCCATTGCTCTATTTAGTGGTCTTCCCAAATCTTTGTTTCATTTAGCTGAGAATATTTAGTATGTCCACATTTCTTTTTGTATTTCCCTTTTGTAGAGGAGGGTGAGGAGTACTTTTTCCAGCAGTCACCTGGGATGTCTGAAAAAATTGGTTATAAACACATAATCTTTCTCTCCCTTCAGGTGTCTCCATTTTTTCCTTCTGTCAGTGGTCCCTTCTGACCTGTACTTCTGAGATTCTCAGTTTGATATTTAGTATCTTCACCTATACCATTCCCTTTTCTTTTTCATCTCTTTCACCCTTATCTGTCTGTACAGCATCCTCGCCACAGTTCACTTTAAATTTGCATTTCTAAATATCATACCCCTAACCTCAGCTATTTGGATCTTTCTTCCTTCCTCTTTTACTGAGTACATCTAACATTTAAACTACATATCAAAGTCCCTTTTCCTCCTTTCCCCAATTCAATGTCTTTTTCTGTTCTCCAAAACCAAATAATCAACTCTTTCTGGAGACAGCCAGTTTTTTACTTTCTATTTTACTTGGCGTATTTTCGTGATACCCTTAGGCTAAACATTACGTAATGATTAAAAGTATGTTGCTTTCTCTAAATATACCTCTTTGCCTTTTGTTTTCTCCCATCATTCTGTATTCTTAGTACTTTCAAGTCTTTCCTTTGTTTGAGCCTTACTGTTGCACTCCTGGTCACCAGCATGTATTTGATTTCTTTTATTTTTAACCCTTTTATTAAAAAATAAACCCACAAACCAAACTTTGTTACAATGTTGCATAAAATAAATCTGGTTGAAAGCCAGCTCAGACATTAGCTGGTTTCTATCATAGAATCGTCCAGGTTGGAAAAGACCTTTAAGATCATCAAGTCCAACCATATCAAGTTTTTTAATTGGAATTTACATTTTTGTGGTTTATTTTCACTCTGATTTTTTCCTATTTCAGTAGCTGCTGGTGAGATTTCGAATATTTATGCCCTGTTCAGATTTGTACCCAGCCTGTATGGCCTGAGATCATGGAAGAAACCAGGTAGATCATAACAACAGAGGAGTTAAAAGGTGAGGTCCTGGTCCATTGAGATTTCCCTGCAGGAACTCAAGAAGAACTTGTAAGTCAGGTTAAGCAGAACTTTTATTCAAAATCAATATTCAGAGTCTTCTGAAAGTCCACATCCATACACAAATTAGCCACAGAAATTGGTACAAGAGATAACACCACAAGTTATCTAAATGTAGGATGGCAAGAAATGGCCACCTATAATTCAGTTCCACTTCAAAATTAATTGATGGATATCAAATTTAGTGCTCTGAGAAAAAGTGGCAAAGAACATTACATATACAACATACGGCACAGACAAACTTTACAATTCAAATTCTAGCAAAGACAAACCCTCAATTTCCTGTGAGAGCTGAGGGTGAGCAGACTCAGTGCATTATATAGTAAATATATGCAGAGGAGCAGATGTGGCATAGACTATAGACATGTAACAGACCGAAAAGACAAGTTACAGGCAGACAGAGCTACGGGCTCTCAGCTCAGCTTGTTGAATGACTCTAAAGAATTGTCTATGCCCCATCAGAAGGGCTTTCCCTATGTGCCCCATTACCAACTGCTTTTTCCAAAATGCAAAAGAAATCCTCTTATGAACTGAAATTTAAGTTTTGATAATTTGTTGCCAATTTGACAATATTGTGCTTCATACCTTTTGTAGCACTTGGCAGCAGAAACCAGAACTAAAAAAGGTAAAGCTGAAATAAATGCATAATGGAGCTTGTAGGTATTTATGCCCCATTCTCACCTGGTATTCACTCAGCCCATGTAGAGTTAGGTGCCCTAAATCGTACAGCACCTTCAAAGATGCCACAAAATCTAATTTAAAGCTAGCAACTTGCCCACTACAGCTAACAGGAGAGTATTCGGCAAACTTAATGAAACCACCTTGCAATTTCATCCTAAATATTCACTGTTAAACGCTTTAGGGGGCTTAAAGGACTTTATAATTCCCTAACAATACCTATACTATTATCCATACCCAGCCATAATAACATGTGCAACTCCAAACCTATATTCCTTTTTAAATGCCTGTATTCTCAGTGTTGATCTGTTGAGGACTACTACTAGGATGGCAGGTAGCATCCTGGACAATGAGATTATGTGAAATTTACATTAATGTAAGCTTCCTAAGGGATTATTTAGAATGGGGACTAGGGAGCTTTATGCATTTAAAATTTCATTCAATTTCTTCATCCTCTCACCTCATCACACAGAGGGGAGAACCCAGTGGCTCATAGGGGGTAGCATGATCATTTTGAACAGCCTTCTTTGTGGGGAGCTCTGCTATGCTCACCAGCATATTAGTCTGCAAGAATTAGGCGGAAATTTTGCAGCATATGGAAAACAGCCCTTACGCTCCGGCCAGCGGGAGGGGAGGTGTAACTGCTGCTCTTACTGGGATGACGATTCCTCGGGCAAGGTACGTATTTGTGAGATCACGTCTTCCAAAAGCAGAAATGCAGGTACTGGTTTGCTTTTCATTATTCATCTCCACTCTCCTTCCTGTCTGCCATGCCAGCTCCTCAGAGGTTACACATGCCCTGTCAGCTGCCTACCTCATCCAGTCAGTCCCCCAGTTTGGAAAACTCGGATAGTTCTGTACCATCCACACGCCTGGTTCATAGGCTTTAAATATAGGCATCTTTTTTGTGCTTTTTTGAGTACCATATATTTGCATTCTTTAAAAGCATTTCCAGCTCTAATGGGAAAAGAATGAGTTGTGGACCTCAAAGGAACCCCACGTTTCTCTCTCTCTGTGGTGATAGAATTGAAAGAATTTACACGATGCAGAGATCTGCCCTTACTGACTTCCAGGGGGGGTTGTAGACTCAGGCTGTGTGCGGACTGACCTTTGCAGACATGGTACAAGACTTGAACCTTCAAAATTTATTACTTAGAACCAAAATGGATTAACAGAGGAATTATACATTCACTTCCAGGAAGCCTCTATTTCCTGTAGCATCATATCTACAATTCTTTCCATTGTGGGTTTCATTACCAGTCATTAACATTGATTGACCTCTTTTACTCCTGATGCATTTGCCTGTAACTGGATGAATGCCAATTCTCACATGAGTTTAATATTGCTTACGTCCTACAGAGGGTACACCCAAGTGTAAAAATGGTGCCTTCTGACAGTAGATCGATCTTCAGAGAGCAGCATATAGGCAATGTAGCTGCCTGCCTGACCCAGGAGCTTCTCACTTCACACCACACTTGGTGCACCTACACTTTGGCATGGGAGTGCGACTATGGCATGGATAGGTCCACAGAAAAGGAGGCATAGGAATCAAAGGGTGTAATTTTTTATTCTGCTATTAGGATATGCAACTGGGCTGCTAGCCCATACTGAAATGTATTTTGCAGCTCTCTACAGCAAGCAAACAAAAAATACCTAATAAGGTAGGTGACTTGAACTGCTATCACAGATACTGCTCAAAACATGGTTTCACCTAAAAATCAGCTTCAGCTCATCTAACCCAGCTGTTTTGAAAGGATTTCTCCCCATGCCAGACTCAAGCAGGCTGAAGAAAACACAGACAGTTGCTTGTATTTTGGCAAACTCAACATTTCTACAATTTATACAAATTCGTGAGGTTTCAGTAAGTGACATTTTGGCAAGCTCAGCACTTGTACAGCTTACAGTCTTAAGGCTTCACTAAGTGACAGCTATATTGCTACTTAAATAGGAAGCCGTTATGTATGTTCAGACAAAATTAAGTGAATAAACACATAAACTTACTTTAACCATGTAATAAAATGGCATCGTTTCTCATGGGGAATGAAGAAAGGCATATCTCAGAGAGAAACCAAACACAAAGTAGCAGAAAAGCCACAAGGCACAATTTCTGATCACTTTTTTTCTCTGAAGTAGCTTCGCAGCACTACAGTCAGCTCTACTGAGGTGAAAGTTTGATTTAAACACAGGGTGCTGAGAAGTGGGGCTTCCTGCCACTTCTGGCATATCCCTCTGTGGGTTGTAAGTGATGGCATTTTGGATTAATAAAATATCACACAAAAAATATTATCACCTGCATGAAGACCTGTCAGTGGCTGAATACACCACATGTTGGGACAGGGCACCGTTTTCATAGAGATAAGGATTTTAGGCTAGATGCTACTCACACTGCCTACTGAAAATGAGGGTGCAGGTACATGATTTCTCAGGTTTCAGTGTGGTATCTGAATGATTTCCGATACTAGGCAGAAGTTTAAAATTCCTGAAATAGTGTCCATGGTATTGCAAAGACTGTAGAAAACTCGTAAGAGTTAGCTATCACTGTGCTTAATACAATCACACTGACAAAGAGACATATCCCATATTAGAATCCGGTGGTGGTCAAACCAGTATTAACAACATAGCACCATAGAAAATACTTTAATTGCATTTTTTTTTAATTGTGTTTCAGAAATATGTCTAGGTCCATTTTAAAACAACCATCTATGCTTCATTGCCTCAGCCCTAGTTTCCACTGGCATAGAACAGCAGGCAAAGTGCCTTCAGGAGCATCAACAACTTTCTGTACAGGAGCCTGTAGTTAAAAAAGCACATGCTCGAAATGCAGGCTGAAAGCCATGCAAACAGCCTTAATTTAGCCTCTTGTTTGAATACACATTATGAACACAGTCTCTCTACAGACTATCACACTTTTTTCCTTTAATATTTGTCTGGTTTTCAGCTGGACGCTGTCTCTTCAGTTCTACTGGGAGTATTTACATGCTTAAATATGTGCATGACTTCTGCAGAGCTGGATTAAGACAGGACTGGAGGCAACCTCCATGATTTTGAAGGGTGGCATACAACACTGGACTAGAACTGGGCACTTGGGTTAGATACTTTAAAGCTATTTAAATGACCAAGGAAAATACACTTTTCAAAGTATCTAGGAACGAAACTCGCCCCAGATCAGATATCCATACTAGTAGTTATGTAGTTAGTGCTTATTTGCATCTTAAGGTATCTGAGTAGCTTTAAAAAAGCTCATCTTTAATAATTCTTTAGAGTCTGGACTCTATATTAACTATTTCTGAAGTAAAGTTCAGTAATTACAGTGAAAATATGCAAAGAAAAGAGAACATTTTAATTCAGGAATAGAGAAAGGGACTTATATGCGAGGATCAAATGAGAGCTGCCACAGCCTAAAAAAAGTATCAAGCAACATTTAAGCAGCATTATTTTAGGACATCAAAGTTTATCTTCAGATACTTAAGGTGTGGCTGGAAAAATCCAAGTACTCACATTACAGTTTGGATGTGCTGGTGAGTTTTTTATAGTTGAGTATTACTGAAGGAATGTGTTTTTCAGATTTTATTCTCTTCCTATGAATTGTTCACAGCTGAGAAAATACCTTCAAACAGTCAGCTGAAGCACCCTAGAAATAAAAGTAAGGAGGGTTTAAAAAAGCCAGTTTACTTTCCCTCAAGTACCTTGTTTCTCTTTAATTTACTAAATTCACTAATTATTACACCCGAGATAGATTTATGTTTGTTTTTCAGTCCTTTTCTTCATCAATCTCACTTTTTATTATCTGTTTAAAAGAAATGTTTCAATTTCTATAGAGCACTGTGGGTTTCTTTCAGGCCAGATCTTAAGCCAACATTGACTTGAAAGCGACAACTAATGAGTAGGCACCTCCATGTAGGACACACAGTACTGGTGTTTCATGTAAAGATAATTCACCAGCCGATAGCTTTTCCCCTATTTAAGTTGCTGACTGCACATGTATTAACTGAGCTGGCACATGAAAGCCTGTGGCCAGACAAGGCTCTGATCCTTGCGCGGGCACCCGGGCAGTGTTACTTCTCTTGTTCCCAGGAGTATTCACACAAAATTTCCATTCTCTAAAGCGTTTTTCCAAATTGGAGATACTCTTTTTAGCATTACACTTATATTGTCCATCTTGTATCTGCCTGTACGGCGAGGTCTGCTCCCCTCCTGTGCCTGCCCAGTCATTTCCACACAAAAAGGCTTTGTTCCAGATACTGGAGACTGCAGTCAGCTCCTGTTCTGAGCAGGCATTTGAGCATACTCACATCCCACTGCAAGGCATTTCAGGCAATTAATTCCTCCTAGCTTACTACATGACTCTGCTCTTTTGGGGTCTAATTCTGGTCAGACATCTTCCCAAATCTCTGATGTGGAGTGGAAGGTACCCTATCCTGTCAACAGAACTGCAGTGCCCTGATGAACCACTTGTTCATTAAATTAGACTATCTTGGACTATTTACACCAAATATGCATGTACAGTACAAGTTTTGTGTACATTGCAACCCTGCAGAAAACGTATATGCAAATAATTTCCATCCCTAATTCCAGCTTAGAACCCAAGCATTATAATAGGACATAATTATTTTCAAAGAATGAGACAGGTCTTTAGCTAATAATTCCCTGTGCTGCTCTGCAAAGAAGCATGTGCAAAATGTATAATCCATGTACCACATTCCAATAAAACAAGCAGAAACTAAGTGTCCAGCTACACTTCAGTGTAAATCTGCCAGCACCCTAGTTACACCCTGTGGCCTTTTTCATTTCAGATGAGTCTCTCTTTGAATCCATTTTCCAGTTTGGTAAAGGAGACTTAGATACAAATATCTGGATATTTTCAAGTACAGTTTTGTGTTTTCTTTCTGTTCCTATTTAAGTCTCAAAAATATTATAGCCGTGATGTAACAGCCCATGTTGTGTGTAAGGAAGAAAATAAAGTAAAAGACAATAGCAGAAAGCAGGAATTTACAAGTCCAGTTAGGCAAAATGTTACTTAAAACTGACAGGTATGGGGCGTATGCTTTTATTGTAGCTCTCAGTTATGTTATGACACCCGGTTAGGGACAATATCTCATCGTTCTAAGCATTGTTCTAATTCACACTGGTGGCATTGGTTTCAGAAAGGTACAACTTTTTCTTGACAACCTCTGCAGCTGAAATAAAATGTAACTTCTCTTTTCCTATAATCCATAATTGAGAGTTTACTGAAGAGAGAGCTTTACCTTCTGCAACTCACCCGGGAAAAGCTTGCTTTGAAACAAGTGCAACCATGGATGTCGTTTGAGATCCACATGAGGTTTCTACACACGGGTGCTGTGGATTTTAGCCTTGATTCTGGAACTCTCACTTAGCTTGCCAGCCTGCAGAAGCACCATTGCAGCTGGTGCTTGGGCTGGCTTGAGAAGATCCCTGTGGACCCTCCTTTGCTTTGGGGCATTTATTTACTTATTACATTGCAGTGAATTGCAGTTCAGTGCAATTTCCTGTTCTTTCACAGTGACCTGTGAGAAAAGTTTATCTGTCCTTTCCCAGCATATGTCAGAGGCAGAAATAAGTCATTAAGGGACTAGCAGAACTCGACTGGCACTAGCCTCTGCATCTGTTTGAGAGAGCAAGCACATTAGCTGCTGACATCTGTGGCAGACAAACTGCGCTTGCAGGAGTTTGTAATACAAGCCCTATAACTAACCAGCAACTTGCTCAATCACTCTCAAAGGTTTACCTGTTGTTGTTGTTGCAGTTTTCATAGGAAGAAGGAACAAGAAAAGTGTGAGCCAAGAGGCTGCAGTGTTACAAAACATTTCTGTTTTTCTGAAAATGTCACACTGTAATGTCATCCTGTAATATCAGTGATGCAAACCCTTCTCTGGTTAGGGAAGAACATTAGCAAACAGCCTAGCTAGGTGGTCAGAGATGCCCTTTCATAGAATCATAGAACAGTTAGGGTTGGAAAGGACCTTAAGATCATCAAGTTCCAACCCCCTTGCCATGGGCAGGGACACTTCACTCTAAACCATATCACCCAAAGCCTCATCCAACCTGGTCTTGAACACTGCCAGGGATGGAGCGTTCACAACCTCCCTGGGCAACCCATTCCAGTGCCTCACCACCCTAACAGGAAAGAATTTCCTCCTTATATCCAATCTAAACTTCCCCTGTTTAAGTTTTAACCCGTTACCCCTTGTCCTGTCACTACAGTCCCTAATGAAGAGTCCCTCTCCAGCACCCCTATAGGCCCCCCTTCAGATACTGGAAGGCTGCTATGAGGTCTCCATGCAGCCTTCTCTTCTCCAGGATGAACAGCCCCAACTTCCTCAGCCTGTATTCATACAGGAGGTGCTCCAGTCCCCTGATCATCCTTGTGGCCCTCCTCTGGACTTGTTCCAACAGTTCCATGTCCTTTTTATGTTGAGGACACCAGAACTGCACACAATATTCCGGGTGAGGTCTCACAAGAGCAGAGTAGAGGGACAAGATCACCTCCTTTGACCTGCTGGTCACTCTCCTTTTGATGCAGCCCAGGATACGGTTGGCTTTCTGGGCTGCAAGCACACACTGCCTGCTCATGTTCATTTTCTCATCAACCAGCACCCCCAAGGCCTTCTCCGCAGGGCTGCTCTGAATCTTTTCTCTGCCCAACCTGTAGCTGTGCCTGGGATTGCTCCGACCCAGGTGTAGGACCTTGCACTTGGCATGGTTAAACTTCATGAGGTTGGCATCAGCCCACCTCACAAGCGTGTTGAGGTCCCTCTGGATGGCATTCCTTCCCTCCAGTGTATCAACCGAACCACACAGCTTGGTGTCATCGGCAAACTTGCTGAGGGCGCACTCAATCCCACTGTCCATGTCAGCGACAAAGATGTTAAACAAGACTGGTCCCAACACCGATCCCTAAGGGACACCACTTGTTACTGGTCTCCAGCCGGACATTGAGCCATTGACCACAACTCTTTGCGTGAGGCCATCCAGCCAGATCTTTATCCACCGAGTGGTCCACCTTTCAAATTGATGTCTCTTCAAATTCAAGATTTTGCCAGGCACAGAGGTGAGACTGACTGCTCTGTAATTCCCCGGGTCATCCATTTTCCCGTTCTTGACAATGGGGGTTATATTTCCCTTTTTCCAGTCGTCGGGAACTTCACCTGACTGCCATGATTTCTCAAATATGATGGCCAGCGGCTTAGCAACTTCATTTGCCAGCTCCTTCAGCACCCGCGGATGGATTTCTTCACTGCCCATGGACTTGTGCACGTTCAGGTTTTTAAGATGGTCGTGAACCAGTTCCTCTCCTACAGTGGGCGCAAGGTCTTCATTCTCACAGTCCCTGCATCTGCCTTCCAAGACTTGGGTGGTTTGGTCAGAGCCTTTGCCAGTGAAGACCGAGGCAAAGAAGTCATTCAGAACCTCAGCCTTCTCCAAATCCAGGGCCTACGTTCTCCCTAGTCTGTTTTTATTTGCTATGTACCTGTAGAATCCCATCCTGTTATCCTTAATATCCCTAGCCAAGTTTAATTCTAACTGGGCCTTAGCTTTCCTAACCTGGTCCCTAGCTTCCCGGGCAACATCCCTGTACTCTTCCCATGCCACCTGTCCTTGCTTCCACTTATTATAAGCCTCTTTTTTTCATCTGAATTTTCCTCAGGAGCTCCTTATCCATCCAAGGAGGTCTCCTGGCCCTCCTGCTGCACTTCCTTCTAGTTGGGATGCAACACTCCTGAACTTGGAGCAGGTGATCCTTGAATATCAACCAACAATCTTGTGCCCCCCTGCCCTCTAGGGCTGTATCCCATGGAAGCTTACTAAGCAGGTTCCTGAAGAGGCCAAAGTCTGCTCTTTTGAAGTCCAGGGCAGTGAGCTTGCTGCACACTCTTCTCACTGGCCTGAGGATCTCAAATTCGAGCATCTCATGATTGCTGCAACCAAGGCTGCCCTGGAGCGTCACATTTCCAACGAGCCCTTCCCTGTTGGTGAGCATGAGGTCAAACATGGCACCTCTCCTTGTCGGCTCCTCTATTACTTGCAGAAGGAAGTTGTCTTCCACACAATCGAGGAACCTCCTGGATTGCTTGTGCCGGGCCGTACTGTCCCTCCAACAGATGTCAGGGTGGTTGAAGTCCTCCATGAGAACAATGGCCTGCGAGTGTGAGGCTTTTCCTATCTGTCTATGGAGTGCTTCATCCACAGGTTCTCCTTGATCAGGCGGTCTGTAACAGATCCCCACAGTAATGTCTCCCATAGCTGTTCTCCCTTTAACCCTGACCCACAAACTCTCTGTTAACTGCTCACCTGTCCCCAGACAGAGTTCCATACTCTCCAGCCTATCCCTAACATAAGGGGCAACTCCTCCTCCCCGCCTGCCAGGCCTGTCTTTTCTAAAGAGCCTGTAACCTTCCATTCCAACACTCCAGTCATAGGAGCCATCCCACCACGTTTCTGTAATGCCTATTATATCATACCCCCGTAGACGTGCACACATCTCTAATTCCTCTTGTTTGTTCCCCATGCTGCGGGTGTTTGTATAGAGGCATCTGAGCCGAGCTCCAACTGAAGCCGGCTTATTGGCTGGAGCGGCTGGGATATCTCTACATGGCTCCAAGCATTTATTATAGGTGCTGTCAACTGACTGGGTGTGTTGGGGTGGAATGATGCCCCCCTCCCCCAGCACGTCTAGTTTAAAGCCTCCTTGACCAGTCTGGCAAGCCTCCTACCAAAACTGCTCTTTCCCTTCTTTATCATCAGACCAGCTCCACCAGCCCCCACTAGACCTGGCCTACAAGCTTGGGTCCCGTGTTCAAGACACCCTAACCCCTGACTATGACACCACCCTTTTAACCATTTATTAACCTGGCTAATCCTCCTAGCCTTTTTTAGGTCCTCCCCTGTATCCTGGAGAATGCCCTTTATAACATAAAAATCGATGAAACGGTACTGAAAGCATGCACAGCTGGGTAACATATGCTGAAAGCACCCAGGAAACTTAGTTGTCTTACCTGTGAGAAGACATTTCCGTTTGCTAAGCTACATTCTGGATCCTAGTAAATATACTAAGGCCTATGAAATTATCAGATGCAATCTACCCCTCTTACAAAATCATCTGTGGCTGAAGCCACCTGGTTTTCCAAATGCACAAGTTTGTTTGCAGCAAGGTTGTCACTGTAGCATTTGGGTTCCATATTTCTACTGTGAACAGAGGCAAAGGTACTAACCTTCCTTCCCAGGCAGGCAAAAGGGAGCCAGCTGGGAGTGCTTCAGGGCAGCACAGCCGTGATGGTGGTGTGGATGGACAGAGGTGACAGCCCTCTGTGACACTGTGGCTTGTACACATCCAAAATATCTCGTTCCTCTTTCTCTACATTTTTAAAAATTAAAATAGTAAAAAGCCTGCCAGGCTGCCTTTGTATCACTTGGAGGTCTTAATGAAAATGTAATGTAGCACAAAGTCACACTTCCTGAACTTTAATTTGCCTAAGAAGTCATTAATTTGGTACACACCAGGGGGTGGCTATCTTGATTTCAGGGGTCAGCAATGAGTTGTTACCCAAACGTGTGTCAAAAATAGTTGATGGAAATCCAGGTGGGAAATGCTACAGCCTATGTAGACAAGACTGGAAAGAATCAGGTTTGGGAAAGGGGAACGGACCTGGTTTTGGTTTGTATCTTTGCTAAATTTTTATATCATATTTTCAATGTACAAGACTATATCCTTTCCTCTTTTCCCTTCCAGTCTTTCTGTCTAGGTTTATGTTCTAGTAAGGGATGAGTGAGCTGGGCCAAGTCTACAGAATGGGACAAAATAGCCAAATATGCAGGGCAGGATAAATGGGAGAGAATGTTTGGAGCCCATGTGGTATTTAGAAAGACTGAGAGTGGCAAACTTGGGAAAGAGATGGGTAAAAAACAGAAAGAAGAATAGCACATTCTTTACACCATTGACTAAAGTCAAAGAAAAGCTGAGGCTGGACAACAATAACAGCCTTCGGACCTGAGTCACTTGAAAGCACATTCTGCCCTTGCTGGCTCCCTGGCTGGTTACAGTTTTCCTATCACCTGCCTAGACAAAGTCATTGTGCCTCTGAGCACATACGAGATGCCTGGGTAGCCTCTATTTCTGGACTTTCATAACTGAAAGCTTCTATATCAATTAGACACTATTACTAATACTTGAAATTTCTGTCATTTTTAAACGGGAAAACCTTAAAAGCATTTGCGAGTCTCACCTCTGACACTTCTATTAAGTGTTATCATGTATGGTTATGACATCGTATTAAAGAATATCTCCAGGAAATATTTAATTAGTGAGTCAGCAGTTTCATAACTCCGAGCTCCTCTCTGTCTTCTTGTAGCTGCAATGTTGTAACTTTGCTTTTGCTTTGCTTTTTCCCCCACAGAAAATGCATAAACATATGTTGCCAATACTGAGCAACCAGTTTGGATTTTTAGTTAGCTAAATTATTCAACTGTTTTAAATCTATTATATGTTATATAATCTAATATGTATATATTACATACATATATATATGTAATATTTATCTATTATATATAATAAGCTGGTCATTAAATGAATCACTGATGTATTTCTCAGCTACTCAAGCTAAGAAACTATAACTGATGATCTATAAAAGCATCAGTGTGTTAAGAAAAATCAGCTGGAGAAGAGCAGCAATTGGTCACTTCAGCAGCACCCACCAATCTGAACAGAAAGATTCACCAATGCCAGCTTCAACTAAATTACCAGAAATCAGATTTTGACACAGACTGATGTCTAGGGGAAGTACCATGAAACTGCTACACAGGCAGCATACATCTCTTGTTCCTTAAGTTATTACTGGAATATTTTATAGAAGTATTTAAAATGGATCAAATTTGGGATGCTCCAGAGCAAAATCTGGGGTGCAGACTCTCCTGGACTCAGAGGGATGAATTTTAGACCTAGCACTTATTTGTACAATGGAAAAAAGCAAACCTATGGTCCAACCACTCTGCCTGCTTGGGAAAAACTATAGTTTAGATCAAGGTCCAAATACTGAACCCTGGCTAGGCCCACCCCCTATAGCAAGAAGGTTGAAAATGTTAGGTTTAATGTTGAGCTCCTCCATTGCTCTTATCAGTGACAGGCAATGTGTGGAAGCCCCTGGTCAACCCTCGTGTGTTTCTGGGTGGGAAGTGGTAGGACAGTGGGGATACAGGATGGAGCAGCATGGGGTGGGGCACAGCCCTACGGTCCACACACCCAGCCAGAACTGCTGGGGGGAAGTGAAATGAAGAGAAGGCAAAAAGGGAGGTGGGAGTTACCTCATGACCTCCATCAACCATAGCACTGTGGACCCTCGCCTCAGCCACTGCCTCTTGGTTGGGCTTGAGACCCTCTGTCGCCTGTCATCTACACCCAGCATCAGACTGGTGTCTAAGTGCTCTCCAGGTAAGCCACCTGCTCTTAACAAATTTTGTGGTTTTCTGCTTTTTCCTCTTTCCTGGCTCAAACCAGCCCAAAATACTCAGCTGCAGGCTGCTGAGCAAACCAGACATTTTTCACATTTGCTGGAGACAGCCCCACTCAGGGGTTGCCTGTTGGAGTCATAAATGCACAGTGTCCCACCACACTGGGGGAGAATTAAAGCCTGAAAACCAAGGCACTGTTGAAATATGGTTGCTCAACCACCCTGAAAAGCAATCTAAAACCTTCCTGTTAACACACATAAATGAAATTTCTGTCTGACTTGTATTTGTGTGATGTTTGTCCCCATGACACTGCATGAAGATAGATGGTAGTAAAGTCAGGAGTCAAAGAAGTAGAGGACAGTAGGAGTGTGCTCACCTACAGCATGAAGGTGCTTCGGTGAGGGAGTGCTTGAAGAGCAACTTCTTTTTTTGACTCCTCCTTTCTGTTGCAATCATTGCTTGCTTGACAGGCCCAGACGGAATTACATCACTTCCTAAAACCCATCAAAGAGAGTCCATCTCCTCAAGAAATGCAGCTCAGATGCACCCCGGCAGGAAACAGGAAATGTAAATGTTTGGGTGAAGCAGGGAGCCAGCCAAAGCGCCCCTCAGGTGGGAGCACCGCCAAGGTAACATGCGAAAGCAAAACCTCATCGTGCTGCTTTCTGCCCTGTCACTGGCTGGAGGATCTGCTGGGAATGGTGAGTAAGGAAGCACCTTTTTCCTCTGAGGTGGGACCATGTTCCGTGCCTGCAGTGCTGGGACCAAGTTGGAGGGCAACACCCTCCAAACTGAGCATGAGGGAGATCTGTGGGGACTTGCTCTCTGCCGCTTTTTGCTGTATTTGCCTGCTCTGTTTTCAGTTCCCTGACTCTTTCCAAGCTTTGACTTTTTCCCCTTAGATCTAACCCCGAACAGCAGCGACCAAATCCTACAATTCCCACGTTTCCTAAACTGCAGGTGTATAGGGAATCTGAATTTCCATGCTGGCCTACCATGCATTTTGGTTCTAATTTTAATTATTTGTTGTACTTGTTTAACCTCACACCCATACTATCAGCATTTAATAGCAAAGTGAAGGACAGAGTATGGATTCCGTTCAAAAACTGTCTGCCGCTTTCCATGCTCTCAGTGCACTGAAACCGGTTTAACGAAGGATCAGCTGGTTCTGGAGATAAATACTTTGAATTTTCGGGCCCAGAACAAAGTGGTCAGCACCGTGGCTTTAGGTACTGACCTTCTGAAGGGAAGAACCATGAATGGGAAAGCCACTTGCAATAAAATGCTGAAGCACTGGGGTGTCGTTGCAGAGGCTCTCAGCTGTTTGCAGGGAGTAGTTTGTTCCACTGGCACTTTGGCAGCCAGTGACTGAACAAGACAGGCAGCTGTTTCAGAAAAACCTTGCCAGGTGGTGTTTATATGCCTTTCGGTGTCAAGCAAATCACTGCCTTAGTGCCTCAGCATGGACTACAAGTGTTTGCTGCCTCTATGCTGCTGCAGCGAGCAGGAGCTCTGCAGAAAGCAGGGAGAGGAGGACCATTCTCAGCTATCACTGGACTTCCTCTGTTAAGGGTTTAAAATGCATTGGTGAAATAGGTGGTTTGGTATGGGTAGTTTTGCCCTGAAAACCAGTAAGATAAGTAGGGTATAAAACTGTGCTGCTGGCTCCAGGTGTGATGCTGAGCTGCTTGCAGTCAGCTTTAGGATTCTTACTTAGCTATAAGGGTGAGCTCAATGAGGTATGAAATGGCTTGGTCTTGTCTGCATGACTACAGCCCTGCTGCATTACAGACATGTTAGGAAAATACTCTGCAAGCATTGAATGTAGCTCAGAATCAAAGTGGTATGAGGAAAAAATCCTGCCATGGACAGAGCAAACTGGAGGTCCCAGAGAAAGAGAGGGACATAATGCAAGCAATGCAGAGTGATCAGGTTCTGGCCTCCTTTGCTCATTTGCAGTGTACTCATCACTAGTACTTCATCCCCATCTCCACTGGGAAGAGGAACACCTTAGTCCCTGACTCCCCCAGCCCACAACTGGACCCCCCTTGCCCTTCTTTACAATGGGCATTAAAGGCTGCATAAAACACTGGGCAGATACCACATACCAGGTGCCCCAACCCACTGCCTTTAGAGGCTTCCTACTGGTAGGTCCACCCATAAATTCTAGCTGATTTTGAAATGGTTCCTCCATGAAAGTGAGTCAGTCCTGACAGAGCTCTCCCTGAGCCTTGTCAGCCTAGGCTCTCCTGAGTCAGTCCCCAGCTGCTGGGGAAAGGGAGGAGAGCACCCATCAGGAGAAGAGCAGTATCACTTCCCCCCATACAAAGGCAGCTTTTGGTTGTGCAACCAGCTCCCAAAAGCAGCTGGGGCTTATGCTGACTGCAAGAGTGGGAGAGGTGAAATTGTGAACTTGGGCTTTGAGGGGGGAAAATTGAACTGGAGGGGGAAAGAGTTTATGTAGAGGTTTATGTATGCCACAGGCACTGGTGGGTTGGGAGGCCCCCTGCTGATGGCAGCCTCCCAGAGGCATCCTTTGCTCTCACCCCTCCTCATTTACAAATCAACAGGGCAGGACCTTTAAAAGAGCTTTATTCCTTCTTCCAGTCCCAGGCACAGCCCTCAACTTTAAAGCAGTCTGCTGTCTAGAAGCCACTTACCCTTACTGCCTATTTTGTATGATTAAATCTTGCAGCATAGACAGATTGAAGCCTTTATAAGTCCTGTTCCTATACCATGCTGGAGCCTTGTAAAACGCTAGCCTTGCCATTTGGATTATGATTAACATATGGGTTTTCTCCCGGCTACGCTATAATTACTCTAAGCCAGCAGCTCTTAGAGCATGCCTGAGGTCTCAGCTCCAGGTGATGGTGTTCACTGCTCAGCCTCACAGCAGCCCTAAAAGCCTACCTAAGTATGTTCTGACCCTAGGAACAAGTATTCAGGCCCTTACTATAGTTTACAGGAAAATGATGTGACCCTACAGCCATTTCCCAGGTTATCCCATGTACCACAGTGTTTGGTGAAGCATGCAGAAAATTGCGGCATAAATGGTCTGACACGAGGAGCAAAAAAACATGTGCAGGAGAGGAGCAGCAAAACGTGTGAGATTGTTAAGTGGGAGAGCTGGGATGGTTGCAGGTAGTGCTTTATTTTGGCTGTGTCTCTGAGCTGTCATTTAGAGCTGTTGTTCAAAGAAACATTGCTATCAAAGATACAGACTTTCAGCAGCTTTTACCATAAGCACAGGTAGCCATTCTGTCTTCAGTAGAGAAGTGCCTTTTAGGTTAAGTTCCTTATGAAGCCAAGGTCTCTTAGGGAGTGGTATTTTTGACCTGTTACCCCTAGAGTAAATAACTTGCGAATGGGTTTGAACCCATCAGAATCACCTTGCTTCTAACAAAGCAACAACATGAGAAATAAGGATTTGCTACATCTCTTTCCAAAGTGCAGCCCCCTAAAAGCAGATTAAAACCCCTTTCTACTGAACACATCAATTCCTTGTATATATTTACTCCTGTTTCTCCCTTTTATCTACACACACAAGCTTCCACTGTGTTTTATTCAAGCGCTTCAGGGATACTTCAGAAAATCTCTCCCTTACATCAGCAAGATTGTATACTAAATTTCAGTCAGTGACACCAGTCTATTTTCCTTCAAGAGATTTTGTGATAGCTGGAGAGCCTCTGGAGCTTTTGAATCTTTAATTTCAGGGTCCTCCTGAGAGTAAGGAGCACTGAAAGATCTGCATCACTGTGAAGTCACACGGATATCACTGATGCAGAGCTAGAAGGCCACAGGATTAAGTAGATGCGACCCAATGCATAAATTTGTATGGAAAACCTTTAATACTGGGAGTGAGAAATGAGACTACAGGTTCACAGTTTGACTCTAAGACACGTAACTGAATTTGCAACACTGCCATTTAAAACAGCACTTCAGCTGGATGGCAGTATAGTGAGGAGAAAGGAGTTTCCATCATTTATAAGTGAGCTTAAACAGTTGTTTCCTCTTTCAGCTCATACCTAGATAACACTTTCTAAGCACCCCATTTTAATAGGATCTTGTCTACAGATTAGCCATCCTGAAATATTTGTGCTCCTCATCAGAAGGGCGTACGCACCTGACAGCTAGCCTGCAGGCTTTTAAGGATTCCTCTTCTAGCCAGACTGACATGCAGGACCTGCAGCAACAAGCAGCTGGGCAAGCCCTGGCTACGGCAAGAACAGCCTTTCTTACAGCAAGAAATATAAGGAGAGGAACAGAGCAGGGATGAGTCAAGCAATAAGAGGATCATACAGACCACGTGGAGTGGTATGATTGATACCACCAGAGGAATGTGTGTATGGAACAGAGTGATACAGGACGCGGTAACTTTACATACACAGCTTTATAGCCTTTTCTGTTTTGTCACCCTCTTGTGAGCCTTCCTTTCACTGCACTTTTATAGCTTATGGGGAAACAAAAAATCTTTCAAACTGGTAAGCTTGACTATACCATTGACTTAGCTCTTGCTTTTTCTCTATACCATCCTTTCTTTTTTCTATAAGCTGGTACTATAGTGTGATTTAAAAGATTCCCTATAGAGTCTCTTTCCTCGAGTCTGATGAGGAGGCAGCAGGGAGACTGATGATTTTACACAGAACCAAATGTGCTGACTGCTGGCTATTTTGTCTTGCCTCCCATCCAGCTGAAATCAGAAACCTGTTTGCCCGCTTACTTCAGCAGGTAGCACGTATCGCCACCTCTGAGTGCTACAGCACAAACCTCAGAGGAAGAAATGCTGCAACAGCAGAAATACTGTTTGTTTGTTTGAGATGCAATTGTCTGGACTGCAATCTGTAAAGCTGGGTAGACTCAATTCCCTCTGTTTCCTTTGAAAGGCAGGCTTGGGAGTAACAGGCAGAAGAGCTAGAGGGAGGTGTGTTGAGGCAGCAGGTGAAAAGCAGGAAATACGAGCAATATCCTTGCAAAAACATTGTGCAATTGGCTGCCCTTCTGCTGAAGGACTTATTTAATTCACTTGCAGAAAAGATCTCTGTAAGAGGAAATGGTGTTCACAGAAAAGGTGCTGTTTTGTTCCTGAAATTACGCAAAGTGAACAAAAATACATGGCAGCAAGGTCACTCCCTGTGATTTGCCATTTTCTTTGCCTAGAGACTAGAAAAGATAATTCTATTTCACACAAAGACAAATTATTTGAAATCTGTTTCACAGCCCAAACCCAGGCAAATAAAAAGTACCAGAGACACTGGAAAAGCCTCTCTTGGAAATCAAATGCAGCACAGACTGCAGCTGAAAGTTCAGCACTGCAGTTAATGAGGTGTGAGTGGTTGCTTTTGCTTTCAAGTCACACCACACTTTAGACATTTGAAAAATCCATTTTAGCTCTAAGAGTAAATGAAAAATTAAGGTATTTTCCCCACAAACTTTCCCATTTGTATTATTTTAAGCAATGGATTTGTCAGTGTATCAAATGCAGCAGATGATAGGTTTCAAGGGCAACAGCTAAAGAAGGAAAATGAAGCAAGGTCATTGATGCAGTTTGGTAGGGCTGTGGTGGTCCATCATGCCATGGTTTGTGGTGTGGACATCTCTAGTAATATCTCCCTGGTCCATGCAACAGCAATAGAAACAGAGCATCTGCAGGCACTGGGGACTATAAACTACCTTGGGAAAGAAAAGTCAAGTGACCAAACTAATAATGGAGAGGAGTGCTCCCTCCCATCCTCTGCAATAGGACTAAGGACTGCCATCAAATCATGGGAAGAGGTGGAGAAGCACACACGTAAAGGGGTCATTACCTGCAAGGAGGCAGAAATTATGGTTTGCTCTTGACTGAAATACTAAATACAGAAGAAAATGACATAGAGACTACTGATATGAAGTGCTTTGCCACTGAACACCTGACATTTTCATTGCTGTATTATGGTGAAAGAGTCTTGTGACAGTTGCATAATACCTAATGTTTGAACTATATTCCAACATTAGGTATTATTTATTAAGTATTAAAATCCTTTCCTAGCTTTTAGGAAAGGATGAAACAATCATGTGCCTGAGTGATAAGCATGACTTAAAAATCTAGATAAATTATTGCTATCATACTCAAATAATTTTATTCATTTGAAATTGGGTTTCCTGGAATATGATCTCATGAGATACTTATCTCCTCTTTGAGGCAAATCTGTCAGGAGAGGAGATGCTGCAGAGTGGATTAAGCAAGAGCTAGCACTCTAATCCCAGTTTTCTCTTTCAGTTGGCATCCCTGAGAAGGACAGCATCCATGTCCTTCTGATTTCTCATTTGTAAAATGGAGATAACTGCTCATCTCTCAGGGCCATTATGAAGATTAATGTGTTTACAAAAGCATTTAAAATTCTAAGTACTGTTGGTTCCAGTCCTGTGAGATTGAAAATGCCAGCACTGAAACACTGAAAACCTTAAACTCTTGCTAACTCTAGTGGAAACTATGGCTGCCCAGCATTTTATGAGAACAGGGAGAAACAGGTCATTGCAAAAGTCATAAAATCCCATCCTGCTTTATTGCATAAAATGAGAGATGCAACACACCAGCATCGTATCTGAAAGGGCAGATAACAAAAAAAATCCTCATTTAATTTCATGCTAAGAAAATTACTGAAGGCTTTGCATTTAGAAACATGCTTGTGTAATTTACCTAAAGACTGATTCCTGACTTCTGGCTACAACAGGATTTTTAGCATCAGTATAGATTACGGTATCAGCCCAGAATTTGCTGTACTTGTTTTGAACTTTAAATTCCATGACAGTCAGCAGACTTTTAATTAGCCTCAAAAAAAGGCTTGTTTCACTATTACTAATATAGCAAATTTTAGCCATTTTTTCTTGCAAAATGCATGGTAAACAAGACCAAAACCCAAATCAAGGTTCAAAACCCCCAGTCTTAGCATCTGTGAAGTGTAACCAGCACTGAGTCTTTACCCTACGCTCCTTCAGCCAGCCCATAGGATTGGACAGAGGAACAGTTAATTGCACCTGTATCCAGTAAAGTCCCCTTGTTACTACCACCTCTTCACGTCCATGCAGAAATGAAAGTCAACAGCTTCTGCAGGCTTCAGACTTCTTTTCACCAGTTCTGTTTTTCACAGTGAAACAATTTAAATTTGAGAAAGAATCAGGGACATGAGTGAGCTGGAGGAATTGGTGAACCAGAGATAATGTTCTCCCTGAAGAGAGTACTAACTCCTTGGGTAAGGGGAAGGATGAAAGTGGTTGTGGCTGTACATGCCACAGCTGACAAGCAAAGCAGGATAGTGTAGTTTACTGAGAAGTAGAAGACCTATGTGAGAGCAAAACCAGATGCCAACCTGCAGGGAAAAAAAGTCTATTTGTGCAAGACAGCTGCGTGCAGACAGACCACACACTCCGACACGTCCCAGTAAAACATGTGAAGAACGTGGTCAGGACTGTAAGATTTTGTGATGAACTTACAATTTAATTTTACATCTGATGCCCCAGACTCCATATATGATGTCTGTGCAGCATCTGCTAATTTCTTTTTAAGAAAACAAATATTTACTTTTCATCAAATGAAAAGTACACATTAAAGCTATATTCTTTGACTCACTGATAATGCTAATAAAATTAACAAAATACTAAGTTGTCCTCATATATTTGGCAGGCTTTGAAAACGATGGTTCAGGAGATGGATCACCAATATTACCCACTGTTACAGTAACGCCTCCTGCTACACGTTCTTCAACTGCAGATGACCATGAGCCAGTACTTGGCACTGCAGGCGCTACTGAAAGCGGCCCTGAAGGAAGAAGTACTCCAAGTACTGAACTGGATACCGTAAACGATCAAGACAGCCTAGAAGCAGCAGAACAGTCTATCTTGATATACGTTGTCCCTGTCGTGCTGCTGGTCCTGTTGATTTTGCTCATCATATCTTTTGTAATACATCATAAAAGGAAAAAGTCTAAGCAAGGTAAATTTGTCTTCTCATGCATCAGAACGATATTTTTAGGACACACTTAACCTTAACAAAATGTTATTTGGAGGCCTGGAATGCCACATTTAGGATGCACTTTTCTGGTTGTAGCTGCACGTTTGACAGTTAGGAAAGGGATCCACCAATAGACAGCAGCACCTGGGCACACATCCTTCCTTGGGTAGGAGCTAGTTCTGCTGCTGCTCACACTGCACACTCATGGGAGCCATAGCACTGAGCTCCAGCTCCTGGCAGTGCCAGGAATGGTGTATGAATGCAACCATGTGGCTACAAAAGATTATTCTGTCTTTATACTTGATAACTTCATGCAAGTTGAATTTAATGCTTCTATTGCCTATATTGCCCACAAGGTAGAGCTGCATCAGTAAAATAAGAACAAGCAATACCATTTTAAAGAACACATTTAAGGGCTTCTGTGGGGTGGTGGCAGCTATGAAGATACCACAAAATGAGTTAGGAATCCCATGGTCAGAGTGCCTGGGTGCTATGATAGGGTGAGCAGTCCTTCCAGAAGGTACCTCTATCTGTTAGTAAAGAAATTGATAGCGTGGAGTGTCAAGCCACAGAAAACAAACTGAGGATTAAAACCACATAGTTGGTAAGTGAAGTCCTGAAATGGTCATATCAGTGTCTCTGCAGAACAAGAGTGCAGCTATAAGCTCCTCAGCCTGCAGTGACGTGTCTTCAACATGTGTTTAAGGTCCATTTTTCAGGGCATATTTAGGCTGCACATGCCTTATCACTGGGTTACCCTCTGTTGCTGAACCCAGGACACCCTCATAGCAAACTCTGAATTCACAGCCAGGTACCTAGTTGCCTGCCTGTTTCTGTATGACCTGAAATGCAGGTACAACCTTCAGGTCCTTAGACCTGTTGCCCTGTACCTGCTTGCTCAGAGCTGGGATTTTGAGCATCCTCAAAGCAGGGGCAGAGAGCTCTGTGGCCCTGACATAGCTCTGCAGTCTGTGAACGTGCTGGAACAAGCAGGAGGCAGCAGCACCCCAGCAACAATGAATTAAAAATAAGCCGATTTAACAGAGTATACAATGTGAAACCTATATGGAGTTCTTAATTCTTTTTTGAGAGCACTTAATTCCTGCAGGGGAAATTATTTGTCTGAATAATTGCTGTAACACTCTTCCCACTCCACCCCCCATCTTTACTTTGTCATAGGGTTTTAACAAACTTGGGATCCCTTATGACATCTGGCTAGTTCAGCTTCATTTGCCTAACTGAGCTTTAATCTGCCATGCAAGTCCATCCCCCATCTTCTCTCCATGAGCAGCTCCCAGAGTCTCCAGGCAGAGACAGATTGCCTGCATGTCGTCTGCAGCAAAACGTCCCAGCACTTGAAGTAAATAATTTTGCAGCAGCGGTTTCCTTCCAGGATACCATTTCTCTCATAACATCTGTTTTGCTCAGGGAAGTGAGCATCTGCCCACTGCAGTGCTAACAGTTGGTTTCCTCCCAGCATGACTGAGCTAAATAAACTGAGCAGTGCTTTTACTATGTTCAAGATTAAAAATAATGGGTTCCTCTGATAATTACAAACAGGATGAGATGTTTTTTCTTTCATCTATAACTATTATGCCTTCTGAAAATGCAACCTGTTTTACATGACACTATTCAAGGCTTGCTTGCAGTCTGGACAATTTACATACAAAAAGCAGAACTATGAACACCAAGTTTTTTCTTTTCCAGATGAGCTGGGAAGCGAAAATGTGAAAAGGTAAAGTTTATGACCATCATTTTTATTTTTACTATAACAGTGTATTATGATTTTCAGCTCCTTCACTGTCTGTTTTAATTTAACCGTACACTAAACCCCATTACCTTTTGCCATCAATTACTCCAGTTAACTATCTCTAGAGGTGGCTGAAGTGTGACTTCATTATCTAGCTGAAAGTGTATGACTAGAGCAGGAGAACAAGAGTTATGATGGCCAAGGTGAGCACTGCCCGCAGTTACCCACTGCCTGCCCTGGGCACTCCCAGCTCCACCAGCCACAAGACACCACCAGACATACGAGCTGCCCCACGAGCAAAGGGGATCAGTTCCCAGACTCAGCACAGGCTTTTACTATTCAGAATAAGCTGTGTGTCTTGCTCCCCTGTTTTTCAAGTTTGTCTTCTCACTCTGAGTCGAGGTAGAAAGGCTCACCCAGCTCCCATGGAAGCAATGCCTTCACTGGTGGGAAAACAAGCCAAAAGTTGCATGGTTCTTAGAATGATAATTTTTACTGGTACCTTCTGTTTAGCAAGATGGAGCTCACTGACGCTGGATGTTATTAAATTGGCTTGACAGGGTAGGGCTGGGGTGCTAAAAATATTTTTAATACCATGTGACTCCAGGAATGATCAGCAAAGAGAAGCTAAACAGAAGCATTTAAATAAATGCAGAGTTACTCTAGACATGACCTTTCCTTATGAAGTTGCTGCCAACGGTCACAGCTAGGACAAAACTCCAAACAACAGGACTTTTGCCACATATTCCAGCAGATCAAACTGTTTCAGTTATCTATTTACAGAAGGGACAGTTCTCAAGTAGCTGCAGTGGTCCTGGGCTCTGCCGTACCCTAGGCTGCACCTTCTGAGTCCCTCTGTATGCAATGTCCCACCCAGCCCTGCCTCTGCCCCGGCCTGGCATCTCACCACTGCTCTTTTGCATCTATGTGCAGCCATTTCATTCACACCCATTGGGCTGACATCTCAGATTACTAGGCTAGGATAGCTTTCCAGAGTTTATTTGTGTGTCTGGAATTATGAAAGGCTCATACAAAATTAACTAAGTTGTAAATTGTTGGAATTAAGCTTTTTGTGTAATGCCTTTTTCCCCCCTCTCCCTCCTTTCAAGTCCTATTTTTGAAGAAGACACACCCTCTGTTATGGAGATAGAAATGGAAGAGCTTGACAAATGGATGAACAGCATGAACAAAAACGGTACACGGTAACCCCTCTACTCCATTACCCTTCTCATTCTAGCTGACGTAGATCCCATGCATGCAAAATACCTTACATTGATTTTCTATGTGTGTCACTGCTTTTCCTACAACATTTTTAGTTGTGTTCTTGGCTCCCTACTACTAAAATAGCAGTACAAATGTCAGGGGTAGAATTCTTGAGAGTAGTATTTTAGTTTGTGTGGGAGCTTATTTTTAACATATGATAGGATATCATAAATGTTTTGAGTTTCCAGTAGACACTTCTATTAAACATCTATAGCTGTGAACAGTATTTATATTTTTAAACACATTTTAATTACTAAACACTAGTTTCTTTGAAGCATCTAGTCCTTTCAGTCTTCAGAGTTCCTACACTTTCGTGCTCCACATTGTGCTATTGTAGATGGATTTACTCATCGTTCAGACCACCATGTATTTAAAATTGCTGCCTGGATCCTATGAACGCATGCCTCCCCTCTTTGAGACCCTTCCCTTGCTTTCCATATCTACAGCATGAAGCACAAGCTGCTCTTTACTGCCAGCACCATTCATCATCTGCATCCTCCCTGGCAAATCTATCAGCCCTTAGCACCTGAGGTAACTAGCACCAGCAGCATCTTCAGCTCCTTCTTAACTTGAAGTATCATCTTTTCTTCCCTCCCCTCCCCCCATTTTCCTCCCAGCTGAAATCTCCTGGTCAAAATCTCCAAGGGCCCTGCATCCTCCTTCAAGATTCTCCTCAGAAATCCCAGGTCTTTGGTGTGAATTAAGAAGCCTCATTTTGAACTGCTAACAGCTTTTTACTGCCTAGGAAATGCTGAAATGCTGCTTTACTTATTTATTTATTTATCATTCTTGGTTTCTTGCCTTATATCCAAACGGCTCATTGGCCTGACCTCCTACGGGGTGCTTTGTTTCTCAGGACATAAAACTCTTCGGAGCATTTCTTTACATCAGCAGAGTGCTCTATGTGATAGGGTTTTAACCTTCGCGGTCCGTAAACTCTAGCAGAAAACATGTGCTAAGTGGCAGTAGTGAACTAGAGGCATTAAGTATAGTACATACAGAATCCATGCTGTAAATTAATTCTTTTTAAAGTTCTGTGGACAGAAGGGAGAAAACAGTTTACATATGTGAGGGGTTTTTTGCTAGTGTTTCCTAAACCCCATCCCCAAATTCCCAGCTGGACTATAAAGCACAGGTGCAACTATAAGCAGTAGGTGGTTAACAAATAGTCCTCCCCATGGCTGTTTATAGGAAACAGTGCTCAGAAGTAGTTAATTTGTATAGGTGTGCATAAAAAAACTGAAATATATATAATAAAATAAACTATTGCAGCACCTATCAAAGAGGAAGGAAGATTTAAACTTTATAATTTATGCTATAGGAACCATACTATTTTGCAGATTAAAAGGTGCAGAAAAGCATTTACAATTTTACATTCATGCTAGAGCTGACACAAATTTGAAATGTATGTGGGAGAACCACAAGGAATAACCACAGTCTTGTTTCTTACCCTCTTACAGCTGACTGTGAATGCTTGCCTACTGTAAGAGAAGAAGAAAAAGAATCCATTGCCAACCCAAGGTACTTTTACTTTGTTATATAATTTGAAGAAATACAGTCAAAGTCATTTCAAAATAATATCTTTTTTAATACATAATTATATACAGATAAATTCTTTGGTCTATTTAAGTTTTTACAGAGAGACTTTGATTTCAGTTTATAAGGTTTGACACTCTTATTTCTAAACCAGTCTCTGCCTGTAAATTGCATGGCTAAATAATCTTGCAGTTGTAAACCTGTGCGAGACAGACAACCAGATGGCACAGATGGAGTTTCACTTGCTGATCAGACTTTAGTCACAGCTTCTCAAGGTGTTAATACAAGCATTCAGAATAGCTTCCTTGACATTCCTCATTGGCACGGACACCCAGCTCCCTCTGCTACCGGGCACCTGTAGGTCCCCAAGAAACACTGCCAGATGTTTTGGCTGGAGTTGTGACCTGTTGGACAGGGGCTTGTCTGACTCAAAGAGAAACCCAAAGGATCTTCCCAGTGCCCCCCTGCAACCCTTCCCCAGAGCTGGCTCATGGTCCAAACAGAGATCCCAGAGAGATGCAAAGCCACAATCCTGACAGCTTGTAGACGAAAAAACTTTCTGGCTGTTTTCCCCAGGATTTTGGCCACAACCCCTAAACTCCTCTCAAGCTTCAATTTTCTCTAATTAAAAATTCTGGTTCCAGCTGGAAGTAAGGGACTGTACATCACCCTTTCCTGCACTTGTGTTGCAGCTGCATTCTGGGGAGTGGGTAAAGCAGCTGCTCTGTGCCAGGTCACAATAACAAACAATTAGACCATCCTGTGTGCCAAGAAAATCCCTGGTGCAGCGGAAGCAACAGATGCAAGCAGGCAAGGCTGGAAGCAGACAGGGTTGGAAGGAGGAGGACACAAGCCTTCCCCTTCTCATGGCACCAGCTCAACATGCCTCTATTAGAGCTGCACCTCCCACTGCACACTATCATGGTAACTCAGAAAAGAGGAGAACTGGGATTTCTTGATTAGGAATGGAATAGCAGTGATTTTAAATCACCACTGCTGGAGAGCCTGCAACTCCAAAGCTGCAGTTTCAGGGTAGCTTTCTGATGGTGCTGCACCACTGCACCTATTTGTATTGAAAAGGTTTCTGCTTATGTCTATTGCAAGAGAAAATTGATGGGGTATGCGGATTATTTAATTTTTTCAAGACTTAGATCCTAGGTTCCAAATGCAACCAAGCACAGTAATTTTACCCGAAGCAGCTGGAAAAGATGCTAGATTCACTAGCCATCTGGGTCTTCCCTTCCAGCCCCTAAATGGTAACTCAGAGTGTGGGAATTATTAAGAAGAGGCAGCTGCACAGATGTTCTCTAAAAACAGATTTGCTGAGCATACCACTAACTATAGCAGGGAGTATAGAACGAAGTGTGCTTCAGTCATGTGTTAACACAGAAGTTAGTCATACTATAAAAGGCGTTTTAGTCACAACACCACCCTGAGCACTGTTTACCTCTACTAAACAGTTCCTTTTCAGAAAAAAAAAAATCATCATGACGTACCAGCTTGACTGACATTTTAGATACCATCCTTGCTAAAGCACTTTTACGCTGTATTTGCGTTAACCCCATCAGAAGTCAAGGTTTCTGCTCTTGACTGGTAAAAGGTAACTTTGGGCTACATCCTGCCTGAAGTTCCTCACCTGTAAAATAGAGATATTGTCACTTCAAAGCACTATAGTGAGGCTTAAGCCTTGATGCAAAAAAGCAGCCCTGTTCAGGTAAGTATGCCTCAGTCAGAGTGAAGGTACACACATTATTTCAGCATATTTTCTTATGCCTGGTATCTTAGGATCAGACTGCAGAGAAATTTATGCTTCTGAGTTGTAGGAAGGCAAACAAATGCAAATAAAAAGAGGAGATTTATCTCTAAAATATTCAGAGATTCTCAGACAAAGGATATTAGTTGAATACAAAATACTAAATTATTAGGTGTAATTTCAGATTCTGAAAGACTCCTTTGTTTGAGCAAATTCCTTCCTATATTATGGTAATTCCTCTTTTAGATTTTATTGATTATATTCAACATGGGAAACATCTCAAGGCCTCACTGAACACAGCTGGCTGAGTGTTGTTTTTCTGCCTCATAAATATGCTGGGGGGAGTTCATCAACAACCAAATGTTTGAACTGTGAATTAGTTTTGATATCATTTTGAAAACATCCAAGACTAAACATTTCAATAATGACATTTTGACATTTTCAGAATGCAACTTGTTCCAAAACTTCTTTTCAGAGTAAGTGACTTTTTAATATAAAATTTTAAAAGGTTTAAAGAGCAGAATCCTGTGGTGGTGACATATTTCTAAGATAAGCATTTCTCTTAACTCAAAGCTACTTTTTCAAATTTCATTTTACATGAAAATTTGAAACATGCTCCCTTTCAAAGAGAAAAAGTATCTGAAATGGTGGGATTTCATGGTAAACACAAAAATTTATTCTCATTTCTGCAATTGAACCTAATCAGACCAAGATCATCTGCTTTTCCTGACCAAACTCTTAGCTGAGTAAGAAATGTCAGAATAAGAACTACATACAAATAAATGGCTGTTTGCAGCAGCTCTTTTGAGAAAAGTGAAGTAAAATGAAAGAAAACTACTATTATGGCAAAAAAATTGTATTCATGAGCATCAAGGCTGCAGATTTGTGCACAAGAGGCAAGATATGACTGCCTGAGCTCCTTTGTAGGTTGAGGTCATCCGCCTTGCACGTAAACTAAGTTAAAAATATATATTTTAAATATATATTTAAAAAGTGTATATTCATCTTGCCTTTGAAACCTAGTGCTAAAATCCTGTTTGTGCCTGAGCAGAAAGCCACGAAATCTCCCCAGCCTCACTGGAGTTCCCATCCTGTGCATGCAGGAAGGATCTGGCAGGTGGGCACAGGCAGGGGTTGACACTTGCACAAGTGGGTGCAAGACCAATCTCTTCTCCAGGGACCTTTACTCCCCTGGCAAAACAGAAGCACCGTGTATCCCCTTCAAAGCACAAGTCTTTGCAGGCTGCTGAGTACCATGAACCTTGCTTTATCATACCTCCTGAGGGAGTTCGGTTTTCCTTGGGCACTGCTGGGCTAATCTTTCTGTCTGAAAAAGCGTGACTTTCTTATGGGGAAATGTTCTGTATAGGGAGTAAGTCAGTACAGAAAAATACTCTTCTCCTAGCTGTGCTTTAGTTTGTCAAGGTACTTCAAACCCATGTGAAATATTATGAGTGGCCCTTTTAACTTCAGAGGTGGTTTAAAACCCTGCAGTTAATGCTGACTGAAATCTGATCATCTGATAAAAGTCACATTTGAATGTTGGCATGAACCAAACATTATTAATAAAACACTAGGGAGCAAGTTAGCTCTACAGAAACCAGTGGGATAAAGAAAATTCACCTGTTACAAAGCCAGATTTAGTATAAAAATTCCATCTGTAAAATACTACCCTCCCCTGTAGAAAGAGGGCAATTTCATTGCTCAGTCCTCACCTGTGAGCAGGAGAAAGGGGGCACCAGGTAGCGCCTAACCAGCAGAGAAGTAAGACCAGCCCATGCTGCCAGCATCTAGCATCACAGATGGGGTCATTTGAAGCACTGCATGGCTGACACATTTGTTTTGATAACACATTCTCAGGGACTCCAGAGATACTTCTGCATATTATTTCCTGCTGAGAAAACTAACCCAACAGCATGACACTGGTATGTTTCTTTCTTTTCCATGTACATGCAGTGATGGTGAATCATGAAGTCACAATAGCAAAGAACTGGTTAAAATGAAGCAGTGCACAAGCTAACTATCCTCCAGATATTGGATGGACTGGATTTACATAGAATTCATCTCAAAAGGCCGGAGAAGCAAAAGCTTTTGTTGTGTTCTGCTACATAGTCTTCAGAAAGGAAACATCACCAAAGGGAAGGAAATAGAAAAAGGAAGAGGACTATAGTAAGATCAGGGGCTGATTTAAATTCCTTCTGCAATGAGAATCATCTCACATCAAGAGAAGCCTTTTCTCCTCCTAAAAGTTCTCAAAATAGTTCCTGTTTCTGTCTAGTCCTTCAGTTGTGTATTGTGTGGCACTTAAAACCACTTCTGTTCCAAGTTTGGTGGGTTTGTTTTGTTTTGTTTTTTTTTTTTTTTGTGGGTTATTGTTTTTATATATAAATAGCAGCCATAATTCTGGACTGCCCTGGTTTGGTGGATGTGATGCTCATCCCTATGCAATGTTTGGTTTTCAATTTTCTGTTCGGTACTGGTGCACTGATTTGCACAGGGCATCTGCTGGGGAGGTGCTAGACTAGGACTGACAGACCAACTCTGAGAACAGAGCAGCTGAAAAGACTCTCAAAGGATTTGCCACAGGTGACTGCAGCCCAGTGAGGGCATGGTTTGTGTAGCATGCTTTTTGGTTTTCAAATTAAAAGCATTGGAGAAGTGAAAAATACTATTTTGAGATTGCCTTTCAGTTCACTATCTTCACAGATTAGTACCTTGGGCTACCTCTCACCATTGAACCCTCCTCCAGGGCCAGTGCTGTTCTTTTAACAATCACTTGCTTCAGGAATATTCAACTTGAAAACGTTTTTTTTTCTTTTTTAAAAACGAGAGGTTGAAAAATTGAACACCACAATACTTATACCAAACAAGTTCAGGTAAGTACAAGTTATGTGTAACTACTTGGTCAAGGTATTAAGATGCAGTAGGATCTCTGCTTCTTCTGGTTTTGAATACTGAGGTTGCAATATCGGAAAGACATGAACTCCTGAGTGTGCCTGGTCAACTTTAATGACACTGAAAAAAAGGACTCCTTAGATGATGAGACTATAAATGTTATCATTGCATCCACTGATCTTTAGGTGGCACATCTCTTATGGGTGTAGCTTAAATATTTAACACACATGAAAGTGGATCCTTGTCTGTGCAAAGCTTACCCCACCTTATTTAAAATATTAAATTCATATCCTACTGTATCTCATATCCTACCCTATCACATCCTACCTGTCCTCATCTATTTAAATACATAATTTCTTCCCACTTAATACATGTTTAATATGATTGGGTTTGTTTTGCCTGCAAATATTTCACTACTGTGGTATCATGCATAGCTTGGTTAAAGACAGCAAACAAACACCTCAAGCCTCTGGGATGACAGCTAAGTGTCACTAGCAGCAGACTTACACAGGAGGGTTCAGCTTTGAGTAACTGAGAACGAGCCAAAATAGGAAAGGAAAAAATATTTACAGCTATCCATATTCATTCATTACTGAGTATGACTTGATTAGTAATTTCCTCAAAGAGTAAAAGATCTATTCATTGTTCCAAAAGAATTTATTGCAAATATTGGATTTAATATGTGAGTGGGGGTAAAATAATTTTCCCTGCTTAGCTGACTAAGTTTGAAAAAGTTTAAGGTCATATTTCACAACTTTTTCTTTAAAAACATTTCCACAAGTTCCTGGCAGTAAACTCATTTTCTAGAATATTTATTTAAAATAATGCAGTGACAAAAGGAAAAAAGTGAAAGACTGAAATTTAGAAAATTCAAAAAATGGAAGTTAATATTTTCTGGTAGCAGCCTTGTTAGCAATTTCTTTCCAGAATGCTCAGATTTCCTGCAGTTTGCAAAGCAGTAACCTGAAGACGCCCAAAACAGAGGATGTTTTCTTTAACAGTACAAGGTGGAAAGATTTATTTTGAGACCATTAACTGCTGTGAGGCTGGTGGGCAGTCAGTGGTGACTCAGCAGTCTCAGCCCACCTTACTCTAGCCCATTTAGCTCTGCAGCCAGCAGCCACTATGTTCTCTCTAAAGGGACCTGAAGCACAGCTGGGACATGAAGAATTGGAGTCCTTGTCTTTATTTTATTACTTCTGAAAAACAATCACCCCCCCCCAAAGTGACATTGTATGGCATAACTCAGTTCTGACATGCTGATGATCCTTTACCCTGTCCTAGCCACCGTCTATGACAGTGAAAATCACTAACAGTCTGCTACTGCCATTTGAAAAGCAGCTGTGTCATGCATGCTGTTGGTTTGGGATTAATGGTGATTCTGCAAAGTTCTTCTGCCACATAAAATCTGTACTATGTCAAGTAAAATTCTCAGATTTACTTTCACATAAAAAACCCACAAACAAATTTTTAAGTGAATGTGTATTCTGTAAACTCATGTTAATAAGCATTGATTCTTATTCCAGAGTCAATGATAGATCAATCTCTGTATCAACGCTTAAAATCAGTTTTGTCCAGAACTAAGGTCTAGGATAGACCTCTATAATTATCTAGATTACGCCATTTACCCTCCCTAAAATCTGGCATGCCAGGAAATTTCTTTTCCTCTTCAGGAACTTCCTAAGCATTTAAAAAAACCACAAAGTAACGCTTTGGGCACTATCTTGGCAAATTCTGGCTATAAATTACCTCTATTTTCTGCTTTTTAAAAGTGCAAATCTCATAGTTGTTGAGTTACTATTGAAAAATATGGCATTTCATCAAATCATGGCTGGCATCAAATGCTGTCCTCCTCGTGTGAAGGAGACCAAGTGGTAAGTAATTTGCATTCCAGTATAGTTATGAATATTTCTAATAGCTTGCCTTTGTACCAGACAAATATGATTTTTAGTATTTCTGTTTTCCCTCAAACATTTTTATATCACTGTTATTCTTCCCCTCTGAACAGAAACGCTATGGAGGGGGATCACTCATTCATCCCATACCTCACCCTGGCTCTACACTCTCCCATTTCACCCTTCTGATCTCTTCCTTTGATCTTCATTTTTACACCAACTTCTGCATTTGCCACAGCCATCACTCAGCATGTACTCACTCAGGTGACAGCCAAGTTGCTGTGGACCTCGGGTTCATGGGCACAGCATCAGCCAGCACGGTCACTGCCTTGGCTCCTGTCCTCCCTCACCCTATTTGGCATTTCCCTTTCCTGCTCACTTGTGTGCCCCTTGCACTCTTGTTTGGTTTACACTTGCCATCTGTTCCTGGTCATTTCCTTTTGCACAGTTTTATCACAATATTTTATTCTTGTAGATGGTTTGAATTACAGGGGATTTAGGCCATTTTACTCCTACATTAGTACAGCCAAAATATTATAATATTCCAGTTTACAAGTATTACCTTTAAATCATTGCTTGACACACCATAATTTTCCCTAAATGATGCACACAGTCAGGTTCCCTCACCCACAGAAGAAAAAAGGAGGACAGCCAGACAGCAGATAAGATACTAGCAGACTTATTTCAATATTATCATGCCCTACACAGTATTTATGCCTCACCACCAGCCTGATCTGAACTAACCTAATCGCACCAGTTTGCAACATATACCACCAACTGTTAAGTCATTAACCCTCAGCAGATACTGAAAGTATGCAAAGTCACTCGTACAAAGCATTGCTCAAATGATAGCAAATGCAATGATCCCAAGAACTGTTACCCCCTCTTCCATTTTCTTCAAGTATTTCAGTAGTTATCCAGCACTTCAAGATAATTTGATATTTAATTTACAGCGTGATCACTTTTTGTCCTACAGAAGGCAGAAAAGCTATGGACTGAAAGGAGGAATTGTTGGAGAAAGATGTGGATAGAAGGAAGAATAATGAAGTACCAACATCTCTCCTACATATGCTAAAACAGTATCTTAACAGAGAATTTAAAAACACACCAAACACCACACCACAGAAATAGCTCCTCCATAAAGTTACAAACAAGGTTATTGGCATTGACAGCAGTTAACCAATACCACAGTAGTCCTGCACTTGTAACTAATATTAACCTCGGCAAAAAAGAACATGGTTTTTAGTTTCCAGGTAGTCACAAGTCATGGATCCACAGATAACTTGTGATCCAAGATAAAAAAATTGTTTTGTAATACTAAACCTGATGGAGAGCTATAAAAAAAACCACTTTTGTTTACTTTCTATATAGGAAATTGCTGTATGTGCAACTTTCATCAAATAGCTGTTTCAAATTATTTTGTAATGTAAATATTTCAAAGTCATAATATTTCTTAATTATATATGAGTTTGAGATTTTTAAAGAACTTCTAATAAAGGATAAAACAGTTTTTAGTCTCTTCAGGTTCTCTTCTCTCCATAGTCCTGCCAATCCATTCAAGTCAATGGGTGCTAATTATGTGTTATTGATGTCAAGATTACTCAGGCCTTAGAAGATGTGCAAAGATATATGTGGTACATAGATATGTTACTCATCTGCTCTCAAATTCAAGCTGAGAAAATGCTAGTGCACTGGCTTGTTCAACTACAGAAGTGCTTTGACATTTATTTTACTGAAGGAAGAAAGCTGCTTTTATTTTATTATATTTTTGTTGGGATATTCCAGATAGTCTTTATCAACAATCAGATTCTGGCTCCAATGAAACTGGTGATTACTCCCATGATTTCTCCTTGGGTGACTGTAGACATCTATCAACATCAACCATTTCCCAGGTCATTCTAGTTAAGCACCAAAATAGGAGTCTCTAGATTAATAAAACCGGTAAAGTGATTTTCAGACTTTTCAGATTTTCAGAGCATTACTTTCATCAATTTTTGCAACAGACAGTTTCATTAGAGGAGAGCAGAATGGCCCAGTAGTATCCAGACAGTTGAAGTCAGTTCTAATTCTGTTTAATCCTTTTCATGTTCAAGCTATCGCAATACAAGACCATCATAGCAATGACCAGGCAGAAACAGTTATCTCCCTAACCCTAGCTCCCTCTAACTTTCCCACCCCCCCAAACATCACATGAGCAAGAAATTTGTCTTTGGTACAGGTATAGACTCAAAAAGGTCTGTATTTTGGGGCAACACTTGTCTAGTTTTCTAGGGAGTTGCAAGAGAGGACTTTACAACAGAGCCCCAGAAGTAACACAGAGTTACTCTCCATCCCCAAGCACTCACTCACACCCCATTCTGACCCTATTAATACCTTCATGCTGCCCCACAGATCAGGTGCTCCTCCAATGTGCACTAAAAGGAGGGTGGAAGGCTTCATGGGGGAAAACTGTTTTGGCAAGAGGAGACAAGATAGTAAAGTGTGTAGGGAAGGTTTCACTGCCCATGGTGGTGGTTGGCCCCTTCAAACCCACACCATTCCATGATTCTATGACAGATGAGCAAAGGACAAATCCTGCACCACCATTATCAACATACATGGTAATGCATCCCAAGCATTTATTTTCTGCTTAGGTTTTAAGAAAGGCTTAAGCCGTGCTTTCTGTGATTATTAGTGAAAATAGCAGCAGTATGACATGACAATGTAAGGCAGCACCAGTCACTCTCCCACAAGCTGCTATGCCCTTCCAGCACACAGTTGCTTCGGGTCTGGTTTTGCACTGGATCAGTTTCTTGGCCTGATTTTGAGTGGAATCCCACATGCTGTGGACTGGGAGTATTTTCTTACTACCAAACAACCCTCCAAGCAGACACTGCAG